CTTCAGCATAGTGGACTGATTCACTAAGAAATTCATTGTTACCCATAATACATCAGTAGCCAAGGGAGCGTTACAGCCGAGCAGTGTGATCCCTGTGACAGCACGCTACAGCCGAGGGGTGTGATCCCTGTGACAGCACGCTACAGCCGAGGGGTGTGATCCCTGTGACAGCACGCTACAGCCGAGGGGTGTGATCCCTGTGACAGCACGCTACAGCCGAGGGGTGTGATCCCTGTGACAGCACGCTACAGCCGATGAGTGTGATCCCTGTGACAGCACGCTACAGCCGAGCAGTGTGATCCCTGTGACAGCACGCTACAGCCGAGCAGTGCGATCCCTGTGACAGGACGCTACAGCCGAACAGTGTGATCCCTGTAAGAAAATTATACTCAAACAAGAGCCAAAAGTAATCTGAAGCAGTGCTGGATATAATTTTCCCTCGCTGGAAGGTAGACATTTTTGGGGTGTGACAGCGCATGTCCCTTACAGAGGTTAGAACTGTTTCTTCATAATTGTTACTAATTAACATACAGCTCTTCTTTGAAATGCTTCAAGTCGTTTGATAACTGAATTGGAACATACATTAAATATTGTGAAGCAATGGTCTAAATGGATCTGAATGTAGGGGAATATTAGAATACCTTTCCAGTTTTATGATTAGGAACGTATTTTAATATTGGTTGCTTTAGTCAATGCCCTAGAGATGTTGTGAGAGTCAATGCCCTAGAGATGTTGTGAGAGTCAATGCCCTAGAGATGTTGTGAGAGTCAATGCCCTAGAGATGTTGTGGGAATTAGAGTTGGTGCACTTGGTAGTCTAGTGCACATGTGTGCACATACTGACCATACTCCCCACGCTCTATCCGTTTCTCTCTCTCTCTCTCTCTCTCTCTCTCTCTCTCTCTCTCTCTCTCTCTTCCACTCGCTTTCGTCTCTTGCACATATTTGTAACCTATCATCCCATCTCCCCACCACCCCATCTCCACCATCATCCCAATCTCCACCATCATCCCCATCTCCACCATCACCCCCCACCACATCCTCTCCCCCATCACACAATCCACCTCACCACCCCCATCTCCCCCACAACCTTATTCCCTAGTCCCCCGACGTTCTACATCAGCTGGTTCGGAGCCAGGCTCACGTGCACATGTTTATGGATCTGTGCTCAACCCACTTGACTCCTGCTCACCCCCTCATCCTGCTCACCCCCCTCCCTCATCCTGCTCACCCCCCCCCCCCCCTCATCCTGCTCAGCCTGCCCGCCACTACAGCTGGTTAGATCCAGGGTTTATTGACTGGCTGGTCACATTTATCATCTCACTTTTGTGGCAGCCAGTGTGCTTGAGTGTGTGTGTGTATACACTGAGTGTGTGTGTGTATACATTGTGTTTGTGTATACATTGTGTGTGTGTGTGTGTGTATACATTGTGTGTGTGTATATACATTGTGTGTGTATACATTGTGTATGTGTGTACATTGTGTGTGTGTATATACATTTTGTGTGTTTATACATTGTGTATGTGTGTACATTGTGTGTGTGTACACTGTGAGTGTATATATATATATATATATATATATATATATATATATATATATATATATATATATATATATATAAAAATTTTTTTTTGTATGTGTGTGTGTATGTGTACACTGTGTGTGTATAGAGTGTGAGCGTGTGTATATATTTTGTGTGTGTGTGTGTGTGTATGTGTACACTGTGTGTGTGTATAGAGTGTGAGTGTGTGTATATATTTTGTGTGTGTGTGTGTATGTGTACACTGTGTGTGTGTATAGAGTGTGAGTGTGTGTATATATTTTGTGTGTGTGTGTGTGTGTGTGTGCCGTACATGTACACAGCGGCATCTATGTCTCCTGTCTCGTTGTGGAAGAACAGACAGACAGTCAAATATTTATACATATATACATACGAACAGGGCGGTGATCAATCAACATATTACAGACGGACGGACGGACGGACGGACGGACGGACGGACGGACGGACGGACGGACGGACGGACGGACGGACGGACGGACGGACGGACGGACGGACGGACGGACGGACGGACAGACAGACAGACAGACAGACAGACAGACAGACGGACAGACGGACGGACGGACGGACGGACGGACGGACGGACGGACGGACAGACAGACAGACAGAGAGACAGACAGACAGACAGACAGACAGACAGACAGACAGACAGACAGACAGACAGACAGACAGACAGACAGACAGACAGACAGACAGACAGACAGACAGACAGATGGGCAAACAGGCAAACAATTACATAAATAAACAGACAGACTGACAGTGGTCACTACGTCCTGTGATTTGTCAAGTAAACTGAAGATAGTTCTCTAAGTCTTCAACAGCCAATCAACAAATTGGCTGTCCTATACGGCATGCTTGCCCAGATACCTTATAACTGTTGAAAGGGTGGGCCATCAGGGGCATTAGGGGCATCAGTGGCATCAGGCGCATCAGTGACAAGAACTAAATTAATATGTTGGAAATAATATGAAATCTGAAATCAAATACTAAGAGAAGAGATTACATACAAGGTTAGGCTGGGGGTGGGTTTAAAGGAAAGGGTAGCTTGGTCTAGCCATGTTATTGGCGTTCTCAACGGCTCCTAAAACATTTCTGGTGATAGGGAGGTGGGGCTGAGGCTCTATGTTCCTGTGTCCTCGATTGTGCGAGTCCCGGTCGTGTTGCGACCAATGCAAATCTTCACAAAGTGGCGCCTCCAGCGGCAGGGACGATAATCCTGACCGCATTATCCGCCCCGGAAGTGCACAACCAGACCCCCCAGCGCTGTCACCGGATGTTTCGCGTCCAAAAATATCTGGCTATGCAGTGCTTTCTACAAGATCTGAATGACGCCTTTCGCCAAGTTCGCATCTTTTCTGTTTCTAACTTCACCACCACGAGGAAAAACAAAATCTGAGGAAAACCTTTAGAATAATCACCCCCCTGGGGCTAGCAGAGACGTGGCAGACAGTGGTCTTGTCCGGGTTGACTTCTTGGTCGGCAGTTTTTTGTGAAGATTAACATTGCCCAGCAACGGACAAAAGGCTAACGATGTTAGGAGAAGCAGAGAATGACAAACGGGCAAGATTCCGCTTTGGTGCAAGTGTTTTAATCATGGTTATGGTTTGCGTTTTAACGTATGTCAAATACTTTTGTTCTTTCGGGGGCATTTCTTGTCGTTCAGGTTTTCTTTATGTGGATATTATAATTCTAAATGTTAATTATTACTATTATTGTAGAAAAAGATAAAGATAAAGAAGAAAATAATTGCAGTTAGGCACAGATTTGAGTGTCTGAAGAAGGACAAACATGAATGATGTGATGTCGACAATGCTTGAGAAATCCCAGGCTCTGATTGTGGCAGGCTTTCGTTAGGAGAGCCGGGTTTGCTAGTCATACTCGCCATCGCCATGGGTTGTGATTCTCTTGCCTCCCGATAGCACAGTATAACCATCACGTTCAACGACGTAAAGGTGACATTATTATTATTATTCTTCTGCTGAGCTTTAAATATCGGTCGGTGTCAGCGCACATAAGAGTATCAATAGAGGATCGATAGACACTGGTCTGAATGGATCCAACACAGCTATCAACACACAGTCACAGCTGCAGACAGACAACAGTCAACACACGACAGACAAAGCATTATAGACATGTCAGCAGATTGGAAAGACAGACAACAATGAACACACACAGACAAGGCATTACAGACATTTCACAGACAGACAGCAGTGAACACACACACAGACAAGGATTTAAGGACGTGCCAACAGACTGACCAGACAGACAACAGTGAACACACACAGACAAGGATTTGCAGACATTTCAATAGACGGACCAGACAGACTCTGTTTCACATTGTTATTGTTTGTGTCCTTAATTTTAGGTTGCAAAATAGACACGTTGTGCAGACATGTTGTGTAGACACGTTGTGTAGACACGTTGTGTAGACACGTTGTGTGGACACGTTGTGTGGACACGTTGTGTAGACATGTTGTGTAGACACGTTGTGTAGACATGTTGTGTAGACACGTTGTGTAGACACGTTGTGTAGACACGTTGTGTGGACACGTTGTGTAGACACGTTGTGTAGACACGTTGTGTAGACACGTTGTGTGGACACGTTATGTAGACACGTTGTGTGGACACGTTGTGTGGACACGTTGTGTAGACACGTTGTGTAGACACGTTGTGTGGACACGTTGTGTGGACACGTTGTGTAGACACGTTGTGTGGACACGTTGTGTGGACACGTTGTGTGGACACGTTGTGTAGACACGTTGTGTAGACACGTTGTGTGGACACGTTGTGTGGACACGTTGTGTAGACACGTTGTGTGGACACGTTGTGTAGACACGTTGTGTAGACATGGTGTGTGGACACGTTGTGTAGACACGTTGTGTAGACACGTTGTGTAGACATGTTGTGTGGACACGTTGTGTAGACACGTTGTGTAGACACGTTGTGTAGACACGTTGTGCGGACACGTTGTGTAGATATGTTGTGTAGACACGTTGTGTGGACACGTTGTGTAGACACGTTGTATAGACACGTTGTGTGGACACGTTGTGTAGACATGTTGTGTAGAATCGTTGTGTAGATACGTTGTGTAGACACGTTGTGTGGACACGTTGTGTGGACACGTTGTGTGGACACGTTGTGTAGACATGTTGTGTAGACACGTTGTGTTGACACGTTGTGTAGACACGTTGTGTAGACACGTTGTGTGGACACGTTGTGTGGACACGTTGTGTGGACACGTTGTGTGGTCACACAGTATTACACAGCGCAGTGTGGGGAACTAGAGATAAAGAGGTATAATAAAATATTATAGAAAAGGATCGTTAAATAGACATGAATAAATGATAAAATAGATATAAATGTATGGTGATATAGATGAAGAAGGATGGTAAAATAGACAGAAAAGGAAAGTTATATGCAAAGAGAGGTGTGATATAATAGAAATGTTTGCTGGAATAGACAGAAAATTCCTACAGTTATCCGGCTTGAGCCTAGTGTTATGTTGGCTATGCCTAATGTTTTTGTATGGCTACCGCCTGCTATTGTTCTACTGCCGCCAACTATTGTTATACTGCCACCAACTATTGTTATACTGCCGCCTGCTATTGTTTAATTGCCGCCTGCTATTGTTTTACTGCCGCCTGCTATTGTTTTACTGCCACCTGCTATTGTTTTACTGCCGCCTGCTATTGTTATACTGCCGCCTGCTATTGTTTAATTGATGCCTGCTATTGTTCTACTGCCGCCTGCTATTGTTTTACTGCCGCCAAATATTGTTCTACTGCCACCTGCTATTGTTTTACTGCCGCCAACTATTGTTCTACTGCCACCTGCTATTGTTCTACTGCCGCCAACTATTGCTGCCTACTGTTGTCCTACGTTTGTCTACTGTAGTAGTGCTCGTGTCTCACGTGTAGTCACATGGAACTATTGGCTTGACACCCCACCTGCTGTGCGTACGTCGAAGGTCAAGTACACCGAAGAACTGACGCCGAGGGACGGGCAGTGCAAGGGTAGAGACTATTGAGCTAAAATTACCCAGAATTACCCGTTGACAGGGAGAAAGTGTGATAGTGCGATCCATAGCCGAGCAGTTTCTCACATCGCCTGCCTATTTACTCAGGTAATGTGCCAGCATTGAACATCAAATTGTTGTTATTATTGTTTTGACAGGGACGGCACGTCAGGTCTCCTGCGTGGAGCCGAGAAATCTTCAATTACTGATTGAGTTGCGAAATGTTCGGATCACCGATTAATTTTTCGCACGTGCAAGTACGAGTAATGACAGTTGTTAGCTTTCATCGATTGACTAAAATACTGCTGTTTGCTGTCACAGCCGTGCAGACTGAGCCGTGTGCTGTTTCCAGCAAGTTGCAAAATGATGATTGCTGATTTCTGCACTTGTTGAGTATGTGTCACTGGGCGGGTTTGTGGCGAGCTGGGAGTTTAATTCATGTCTCGAGACATTAAAGGCAACGTCTCACTAGGTAACCTCGCACGTTCTGCTCGATGATGAGGTAATTATATCGGCTATCGATAGCGTCAGAACAGAAGTCGAACTGCAGTCGAGGCTCAAGCTGCTTGTGGAGCATAAGGTGTCGACTACATTGTTGGATGCATGCACAACGCCGACATCCGACCGGATCTGAACATAGAGGAAAACTGGCTCATAAACAGCATTTTGTCCCGAAAGGTGGGGTAGTTTGGTCATGTTAAATGTCATCGTTGGAATATCTAGGTTCTATAATATCTAACAAGTGAGACTTTTGACGAAGCCAAAAGGGGGATGGCCATAGCAATGCAAAGATTAAACAGATTTAAAATTCTATGCTTAAGCACCAGCAAAGAAATCAGAATTAAAATTTTGAGAGTATGCATCTTCCCTGTAGCAGCATACGGATGTGAGTCGTGGACTGTCTGTTAGTCCTAAAGAAAGAAAATAGGGGCCTTTGAGCTGAAATGCTATAGAAATATTCTCAGATTATCTTGGATAAAGAAGATGAGAAATGCTGACATCTTAAAAGATCTGAACATCAAGGAAGATTGGCTAATAAACAGCATCCTGTCTCGGAAGCTGAAATATTTTGGTCATGTCAAGCGCCACGACGGATTGGAAAAAATTATTGCAGAAGGCATGGTACCAGGAAGGAGGGGCAGGGGTCGACCAACATTATTATAGACACACGACATACATGACTCCTTGAATATGAAAGTACAAGAGGCGGGAGAACTCGCGAGAGGCCCAGCCTTCTTCACGCAGACCGTGATGAGAGCGACGTTCTGCAAAGGAACTGCTACATGATGATGATGATGAAACGTCAGGGCGGTCTGCAGAGGAAGGAGATGGAGGATTCCGTTTCTGGTAAACGAGGCAGAGGACGACCACCGCGAAGGTGGGTACAGGACATTGAAGATGCACTGGCTAGGAAAGCACATAGGGCTGGAGAAGTGGCTAGCTGCAGACTTTCAGGTGTGCTGTCTCCAGAGCTACCTTCTGTAAAGTATTTACTGATTCATTATGTAATCACCATCAATTTCACTGCTCACTGGGAATTCCCATACGTGCTCAGTCCTCTGGTGCAGCAGTCACCCTACGGTACCTCTACTGATGAGCAAGCATCCGGTAACCATAGTTTATAGATGAGGTCGACAAAAGAGCTCTAGTGAGACAACGTGTCTCTTGCTGACACCTGAACCTTTCTGACACCTAAACCTTTCTGACACCTGAACCCTTTCTGACACCTGAACCTTTCTGACACCTGAACCTTTCTGACACCTGAACCTTTCTGACACCTGAACCTTTCTGACACCTAAACCTTCTCTGACACCTGAACCTTTCTGACACCTGAACCTTTCTGACACCTAAACCCTTTCTGACACCTGAACCTTTCTGACACCTGAACCTTTCTGACACCTGAACCTTTCTGACACCTGAACCTTTCTGACACCTGAACCTTTCTGACACCTGAAACTTTCTGACCACTGAACCTTTCTGACACCTGAAACTTTCTGACACCTGAACCTTTCTGACCACTGAACCTTTCTGACACCTGAAACTTTCTGACACCTGAACCTTTCTGACACCTGAACCTTTCTGACGCCTGAACCTTTCTGACACCTGAAACTTTCTGACCACTGAACCTTTCTGACACCTGAAACTTTCTGACACCTGAACCTTTCTGACACCTGAAACTTTCTGACACCTGAACCTTTCTGACACCTGAACCTTTCTGACGCCTGAACCTTTCTGACACCTGAACCTTTCTGACAACTGAACCTTTCTGACACCTGAACCTTTCTGACACCTGAACCTTTCTGACACCTGAACCTTTCTGACACCTGAACCTTTCTGACAACTGAACCTTTCTGACAACTGAACCTTTCTGACAACTGAACCTTTCTGACACCTGAACCTTTCTGACAACTGAACCTTTCTAACAAATTAACCTTTTTGACAACTGAACTTTTCTGACACCTGAACCTTTCTGACACCTGAACTTTTCTGACAACTGAACCCTTCTGACAACTGAACTTTTCTGACAACTGAACTTTTCTGACAACTGAACCTGTCTGACAACTGAACCTGTCTGACAACTGAACCTTTCTGACAACTGAACCTTTCTGACAACTGAACCTTTCTGACAATTGAACCTTTCTGACACCTGAACCTTTCTGACACCTGAACCTTTCTGACAACTGAACCTTTCTGACAACCGAACCTGTCTGACAACTGAACCTTTCTGACAACTGAACCTGTCTGACAACTGAACCCTGATTGCTGTCTCTGCAGAAAAACTTATAAATCGCCGACCCCTCACTCCGCGGGCAACAAGCCATCTTCTTGCGGGCTTCTCAAAATCAAATATCAGGAGTTGTCTCCCTCTTTTTCTGTTTTTTCTAACACTGCAAATCTTTCCGGTTGTCACAAACGTCTTCAAGCCAGTTCTTTGTAACCGGACGACAATGAGGATTGCCTGGTCGTGACGCATGGAATCAAACATCTTTATGATCTGTCCTCTCGCAGCACTTGGATGTTGCTTTTTTTTTTAAAGAGCCATTGTCTGTAAGCTCTGTGACAATTAGGTTGTCGCAGGTACAGATCGTCTCCATTCTCCTTGACCATCAACATCTCCACAAACAACATCTTCACACACAACATCTCCACCACCACCATCAACACAGCCAACAACTCCACCAATATCCCCGCCACCAGTGTGTCATCCATGACTTGTCTAGAGTCACGGTCGACTAGACAGCACCTGGTCTAGTCAGCCGCAGAGCTGCATGGGATCACACGCCCATGAAGCAGCCAAGATCAAAGATGTTCTGATTGTCTCAGTAGGGTCAGGTGATTATCACTGATGGCAATCGTTGGCCTCTGTAAATGCGGGCCTAGGTGGAGGCATTCGTTGGCCTCTGTTAATGCAGGATCTAGGTGGAGGCAATCGTTGGCCTCTGTTAATGCAGGATCTAGGTGGAGGCAATCGTTGGCCTCTGTTAATGCAGGATCTAGGTGGAGACAATCGTTGGCCTCTGTTAATGCGGGATCTAGGTGGAGGCAATCGTTGGCCTCTGTAAATGCAGGGGCTAGGTGGAGGCAATCGTTGGCCTCTGTTAGTGCAGGGGCTAGGTGGAGACAATCGTTGGCCTCTGTTAATGCAGGGTCTAGGTGGAGACAATCGTTGGCCTCTGTTAGTGCAGGGGCTAGGTGGAGGCAATCGTTGGCCTCTGTTAGTGCAGGGGCTAGGTGGAGACAATCGTTGGTCTCTGTTAGTGCAGGGGCTAGGTGGAGACAATCGTTGACCTCTGTTAGTGCAGGGGCTAGGTGGAGGCAATCTTTGGCCTCTGTTAGTGCAGGATCTAGGTGGAGGCAATCGTTGGCCTCTGTTAGTGCAGGGGCTAGGTGGAGACAATCGTTGACCTCTGTTAGTGCAGGGTCAAGGTGGAGGCAATCGTTGGTCTCTGTTAGTGCAGGGTCTAGGTGGAGGCAATCGTTGGTCTCTGTTAATGCAGGATCTAGGTGGAGACAATCGTTGGTCTCTGTTAGTGCAGGGCCTAGGTGGAGACAATCGTTGGCCTCTGTTAATGCAGGGTCTAGGTGGAGGCAATCGTTGGCCTCTGTTAGTGCAGGGGCTAGGTGGAGACAATCGTTGGCCTCTGTTAGTGCAGGATCTAGGTGGAGACAATTGTTGGTCTCTGTTAGTGCAGGGCCTAGGAGGAGACAATCGTTGACCTCTGTTAGTGCAGGGCCCAGGTGGAGGATATCACAATTAACCCTTAGTGTGAACGGGTCACATTTAAACACAGGAGAGTTATTGAGACCAGCAGTTTCTGACAGTTATTCTCACGTCTTTGAGGTAAACCATTGCCGGATAGACAGAGGAATGGAAATGTAGTTTGTCTAGTCTTCGTAGATTTGGTAAAGCTGTTTGATAACCTGCAGAGGAAATCTCTATGGAAGATATTGCGTCGCTATGGCATTACCATAGAAACACAAATATGTGATTAAAGCAATTTTTTCAAAGAATAATTACTAGGTAGGACACAGGAGTTAGACAGGGACGCATACTTACACAAGAGAGAGTGTCTCTGTCAACACAGGAGTTAGACAGGGACGCATACTTACACAAGAGAAAGTGTCTCTGTCAACACAGGAGTTAGACAGGGACGCATACTTACACAAGAGAGAGTGTCTCTGTCAACACAGGAGTTAGACAGGGAC